GAGGCGATCTCCAGGTCTGGGTGTTCAGCAGTCCTCAGCTTCCACCCCATCCCCGCTCTGTTTTTCTTCCTCCCACTGGTGAGCTGGGATTGGGGAAGGGCTTGGGTCCTGCTGGATCATGCTTTGGTACTTTACCATTTTCTGTGAGGTATGCTCTTTTCCCCAGGTGTAGGCAGTCTACCACAGCCTTCTTTCCTGTTGCTCTTTCAGGATTAGTTGTATTTGCTGTATTTTCGTATTATATGTGGTGTTGGGAGGAGGTGTCCGTCTCATCTCTCACACTGCCATCTTTAAGCCAATGTCTGTTTTTGGCCCATTTTTTAAGTTGGATTGTTTTCTTGTTGAACTATAAGAGTTCTTTGTTTATTTTGCATAACAGTCCTTTACCAGATCTGTCTTTTGCAAATATTTTCTCCAAGTCTGTGGCTTGTCTTTCAATTCCCTTGATATTACCTTTCACAGAGCAGAAGTTTTTAATTTTAATAAAGTCCTTTGGTGTTTTATCTAAAAGTCATCACTATATCCACAGTCTTCTAGGTTTTCTTTTATGTTATCTTTTAGGAGTTACAGTTTTGTGTTTTACATTTAGGTCTCGGTTCATTTTGATTTAATTTTTGTAAGGGGTATAAGGTCTGTGTATGGATTTTCTTGCCTGTGGATGTACAGTTGTTCCAGCACCATTTGTTGAAAGGACTATCTTTGCTCTATTGTGTTGCCTTTGCTCCTTTGTCAAAGACCACTTGAGTGTTTGGTAGAAACCAGCCAATAAAAAGAATTCTCCTTCAAAAAAAGTCAGTTGACTGTATTTATATGGATTTATTTCTGGACTCTCTATTCCATTCCATTAATCTATTCTTTTATCAATACCATCTTGATTATCATTGCTTTATAGTAAGTCTTGATATTGGGTTGTGTCAGTCTTCCAACTTTATCCTTCTTCCTGAATATTGTGTTGGCTATTCTGGGTATTTTGCCTCTCCATATAAATTTTAGACAATTGCTTGTATTCACAAAATAACTTGTTGAGGTTTTTATTTGGATTGCATTGAATATATAGATCAAGTTAGGAATAACTGACATTTTTGCACTATTGAGTCTTCCTGTCTATGAACAGAATATCTTGTCATTTACTTAGTTATTTTATTTCATTCATCAGAATTTTATAATTTTCCTTATATAATTCTTATACATGTTTTGTTAAATATGTATGCCTAAGTATTTCTTTTTTGAGGATGCTAATGTAATGGGATTGTATTGTTTTTTTACTTTAAAATTCTACTTGTTCATTGTTGGTGTTTAGGAAAGTGATTGACTTTGGTATATTAATTTTGCATATGACAGCCTTGTTATCAATAATTAGTTTCAGGAGTTTTTTGGTCAGTTCTTTCAGATTTTCTACATAGATAATCATGTCATCTGCAAATAGTTTTATTTCTTCTTTCCCTGTCTATATATCTTTTATTTCCTGTTCTTGTCTAATTGCATTAGCAAGGACTTCCAGTACAATGTTGAAAAAGAGTGGTAAGAAGAGACATTCTTGCATTGTTCTTGATGGTTGAGTATCTTTTGGCCATCAATATTATGTTACAGTGTTTTGAAAAACTTCCTTTTACTTTTGAGTTTAATATATTTTAATTTTAAAATGATAAAGTTGTTCTTCTGTAGTACAGTATTATCTTCATCAATATCACTTAGCTGCCTCCATGAGATTGAATAACTGTCAGCTAGTTCCCATTTAAGTTTCATCTCTCTGCTTCCTGCTTTTTTCTTCCTTTCCCTTTCCTTTGGCCTTCTTCTTCCAGTCTGTCCTTTCTTCATTCTATTACATTTGCCATTCTATTTGATTTGCCATTTGTTTTGGATTATTGGCAAGGTCACCATTTAGTTTGTATGGAGAAAAATCTTGTGAGGGATCTAAAAGCCAAGGGAAGAGCCCATATAACAGGAAGAGTTACAGAAACTCTAGAACCGCTAAAATGGAAGGAGAAAGTGAAATATAAAGGAAGGAAGAGAAGATCTTAGAACATAGAGACTCCTTGAATGTAATAGGTTCATTTTGATTTAATTTTTGTAAGGGGTATAAGGTCTGTGTATGGATTTTCTTGCCTGTGGATGTACAGTTGTTCCAGCACCATTTGTTGAAAGGACTATCTTTGCTCTATTGTGTTGCCTTTGCTCCTTTGTCAAAGACCACTTGAGTGTTTGGTAGAAACCAGCCAATAAAAAGAATTCTCCTTCAAAAAAAGTCAGTTGACTGTATTTATATGGATTTATTTCTGGACTCTCTATTCCATTCCATTAATCTATTCTTTTATCAATACCATCTTGATTATCATTGCTTTATAGTAAGTCTTGATATTGGGTTGTGTCAGTCTTCCAACTTTATCCTTCTTCCTGAATATTGTGTTGGCTATTCTGGGTATTTTGCCTCTCCATATAAATTTTAGACAATTGCTTGTATTCACAAAATAACTTGTTGAGGTTTTTATTTGGATTGCATTGAATATATAGATCAAGTTAGGAATAACTGACATTTTTGCACTATTGAGTCTTCCTGTCTATGAACAGAATATCTTGTCATTTACTTAGTTATTTTATTTCATTCATCAGAATTTTATAATTTTCCTTATATAATTCTTATACATGTTTTGTTAAATATGTATGCCTAAGTATTTCTTTTTTGAGGATGCTAATGTAATGGGATTGTATTGTTTTTTTACTTTAAAATTCTACTTGTTCATTGTTGGTGTTTAGGAAAGTGATTGACTTTGGTATATTAATTTTGCATATGACAGCCTTGTTATCAATAATTAGTTTCAGGAGTTTTTTGGTCAGTTCTTTCAGATTTTCTACATAGATAATCATGTCATCTGCAAATAGTTTTATTTCTTCTTTCCCTGTCTATATATCTTTTATTTCCTGTTCTTGTCTAATTGCATTAGCAAGGACTTCCAGTACAATGTTGAAAAAGAGTGGTAAGAAGAGACATTCTTGCATTGTTCTTGATGGTTGAGTATCTTTTGGCCATCAATATTATGTTACAGTGTTTTGAAAAACTTCCTTTTACTTTTGAGTTTAATATATTTTAATTTTAAAATGATAAAGTTGTTCTTCTGTAGTACAGTATTATCTTCATCAATATCACTTAGCTGCCTCCATGAGATTGAATAACTGTCAGCTAGTTCCCATTTAAGTTTCATCTCTCTGCTTCCTGCTTTTTTCTTCCTTTCCCTTTCCTTTGGCCTTCTTCTTCCAGTCTGTCCTTTCTTCATTCTATTACATTTGCCATTCTATTTGATTTGCCATTTGTTTTGGATTATTGGCAAGGTCACCATTTAGTTTGTATTGAGAAAAATCTTGTGAGGGATCTAAAAGCCAAGGGAAGAGCCCATATAACAGGAAGAGTTACAGAAACTCTAGAACCGCTAAAATGGAAGGAGAAAGTGAAATATAAAGGAAGGAAGAGAAGATCTTAGAACATAGAGACTCCTTGAATGTAATGTGTCAGTAGACTTTAAAGAAGATATTTGTTCATATTTCTTGGACTTTCAGATCTAAGACCAGTTTTATTAATCATAAAATAAACATATTTTAGAATATTAAGAGATATGTAATATTTTAAAGTTATTTGTTCACTAGTATGTCTTATCATGTGAACTCCACATGGTGTTTGAAGGCAAGAATCTTCTTTATCTTTGTATCCTAATGGCTAGCAAAGACATTTAACAACGAATTTTTCAATGTATAAGTGAAAGAAGCAGTTGTAGAAATAGGAAAGGATTTGGAGTTCAAAGACAAGTATTTCTACCCTTGCTCTGCCACTTATTAGCCATGGACTTCATTTTTCAATGGAAGAATATTACTGAGTTATCATTTTTAAAGAGTCCTAAATTTTTTGAGCTACATATTGAATTATTTTCAGTTTAAAATTGTATGATATCTGTGATTTGCTTCAGAAAGATATGTGAAGGGGAAAGTGGATGGAGGGAGTATAGGTGACACAAGGTTAGACATGAGTTGATAATTGTTAAAGCTTAGAAACAGGTAAATAGGACACGTTATTTATACATGACAAATAGAGTACTGAATGCTATTTTGTTTACTTTTAAACATGTATATTTTTTATAATAAAAAGTTTAAAAGTTCCAGAAGTAACTCCTTTGATCATGATGATGATACAAATAATTTTAATAGGACCTAACTGCATATTTAAGTGTAAATTATAGGTTCTGATGGAGGAAGCAGTGATATTTGGAAGCATCAGTTTTATTATGATAAATTTTGCTAAGTGAAATAAGGCAGAGAGAAACAAATACCGTATGATTTCACTTATGTATGGAATCTAAAAAAAACAAACATACAAACAAAAAACCCCAGAAACAGACTCATAAATACAAAGAAAAAACTGATGGTTGCCATAGGGGAGAGGAGTTGAGGGATAGGCAAAGTAAGTGAAGGGGATCAAGAGGTACAAACTTCCAGTTATAAAATAAATAAGTCATGGGGATGAAAAGTACAGCATAGAGAATACAGTCAATAATATTACAATGTCTGTATATTGACAGATGGTAACTACACTTACTGTGGTGAGCATTTAGTAATCATATAATTAGTGAGTTACTATGTTGTGTACCTGAAATTAATATGTTAACTGTGCTTCAATAAAAAAGTTTTTTAAATAACATAAAAAGTTCCTAGCAGGAAATGTTAATAATGTTTTACATAGGGATAACCCAAGTTATCTAGTTTGTTTTATGACTGTTTAAAATGAATGCTGGGTTTGAAAAAAGACAAAATAATTGTGTAGTTAAGGTTTTCAATGTGATTTGTATGACAAATGTGTATATTATAAATAATGTGATACCACCTAATTAGAAATGCTACTGATTAATGTAGAAGTGCTGGTTAATTCATCTACCTAAGTGCCCCATCTATACTTGTCTCTTGGTAAATGTTGAGCAGATACATGAATATAATAGTTTTGTTTTTATTATTACCAGGAAGAAGAAAAATGTGATGAAATTCCAGAATACTCTGAACCTATTCTGGAGTTTAACAGAAGTGTTAAAGCTGTTTCTACAAAATACAATGGCCCTCCATTTCCACCTGTTGCTTCTACTCTTCAGCCCACTGCTGATATTCTAGATAAAGTAATTCAGAGAAAAGAAACTTTGGAAAATAGCTTAATTCAGTGGTGAGTTTACAGTGTTTATGGTGTGAACAGAATTATAGTAGCAAATATAAATAGAAAGCATCACATTTGGTTGAAAATCTGCCTCGTTTCCATTTGTTTATTAATCTTTTCCTTTGCTATAGTCACTGCAAACTATCTAATGTGATAACAAGGGTTTAGCTGATTATTGGAGGTATTGTTTCTGTCCTTGAATATTTGTACTTAGGCTGTCTATTATGGCAAAAGAGGTCATTTTTAAGTAATAAAAACCTTAAAAATGTATGATTTTTAATCCAGTGGTTCACATCCAGAAATTTATCCTAAGGAAATAATTATGTTTCTACTACAAGGCCATAGAATACTTTACATGTATAGTGCTTTCTACAAACAAGGTTCTGTTCTATTTACTTACATAAACTGAGAAATTCAATTTTTATCCCTATGTTTACCCATAAGAAACCTTAAGGAACTTATGGAATAAACTAAACTGCATTTTAGTACAATTATCATGATTAGGTTTAGAAGAATATTTAATGATGTTGAAAGAAACACCAGTGCATACATGAAGCAGGATACTAATGATGTAATTGCAGTTTGCAAGACTTCACTCAAAAATAAGTGTGTAGGAAAAAAACTGAAAAGCATATACCAAATTGTTTATGTTTATCTCTGAATCTGGGATTATGAGTGAGCCTTATCTGATTTTTTTAGATTTTTACATATTTTCTGATTTTTTCTACAATGAACATCTATTGCTTGTATAATGATTTTTAATCAGTCTGTTAGCTGCTCTAAAGAAATGCACAGAAACAGAGTTCTATCCTTTTCCCCTTCCCTTTCTTCTTCTTCTCCTTCCCTTTTCTAAAAATGACCTTGGAAATAAATTTTCTTCCCCTTTTAAGTGGAAAACTACCTGTACTGTGATCATTATATTTATTTCCTTGAAGCGAGGGCATCTCATCTGGACTTCTTTTCTAGCTCTGATCTCATATGGTTTCATATGTGTGTTTTCAGAGCACTGATAGTCATTATCATATGGATACTCATATGATTAATCATTATGCCAGATAATCATTGACTTAAACCTTATTATGAATTTAGGAGGCCTGTTAAACTTTTCATTAGACTAATCTGAAAGATTTTAATTTGATTTAATAAACTATTTCCCACACAGAGCTTCTGTTTTGTGTGGTTTATTTTGCTAGGGGATACATTTGATATTTTCTTCGTTCTGTATTCAACTTTCAGAATGACTGCTTTCACATGTAAATGTTTGTGTCCATGGGTAAAGTTTATTTTTAAAGGTAAGGTGATATTTTGAACACTTTGTACATTTCAATCAAATTTAGACATCCTTAACTTTTATCCCCCAGGGTAGAACAAGAAATAATGTCGAGAATTATCTGTGGGCTTTTTCCAATCCAACAACAGGCTGCAGCTAATGTCAGGGTTTCAGTCAGTGAGGCAAGTGAACCATCGACTTCTGACATTGGTAAGTGAAATGGAATCTTTTAACTTTTTTTGTTTACTAAAAGACAAAACCTTCAGCTCATTGTGGATTTATGTATTAGTCCTCAGATAACAAAAGATAAGCTCTTACTTCCAATATCACTTCCCAGTTCTCAGTAGTGGAGGTTGTCTTTCTCACCTGTTTACTTCATACTGTAATATTCATATTATTACATTCATATTATTATTCCATTCCATCCTCCCACCTCAAATCTCTTATTTCCCACAGCACTTTTCATGTATCTCTGTTAGAGTAAAAAAGTAACACCAGATTTTATTATGACTGATTTAAATATCTGTTTCACACACTAGACTATAAATTTCTCAGGATTAAGAATGTTTCTCTTTTAGTGCCTAGCCCTGATTGACATCTACTAAGTTTTAAGTTCACTGACTGAATAAATGAGTCTCTTTCTTTTGGAGCCTTTCTTTCTTTATCATTCTCTTCTTCCTCTTTTCCTACCCATCTTTTTTCCTCCTTCCCTCTTTTTCTCCCTCCTTCTTGATCAGCTTTTTTGAAGTATAGTTTGCTTGCCATAAAATTCACCAATTCTAAGTGTACAGTTTGATGTTTTGTTAAATAAACACAGCTATACATTTATACATTAGCCACAGAATCCTGATGTAGTAAAACAGTTCCATTATTCCAAAAAGGTTCCTCATGCCACTTTGCAGTCAATTCCTAGCCTCCCATAATCGCTGGTTCCTAATAATTGCTGACCTGCTTTCTATCACTGTGTTTTTGCCTTTTCTATAATATATATAATACAGTATGTAGTCTTTCATGTCTGCTTTTATTTAACATAATGCTTGACAATCATAGTAAATGTGAAATGACAATCCTTTTGTGTACATAGTAATAACACACTGTATTGATATACCATAATTTGTTAATGCACTTACCTGTTAATGGACATTTGTAATTTTAGTTTTTGGCTATTATAAATAAAGCTGTTATGAATATTTGCAAACAAATCTTTTAGACACATCTTTTAATTTTTCTTGGTCATATGATGTATTTTTAACTTTATGAAACCGCTAAATGTTTCCAGTGTTGCTTTCTAATTTGCATTCCAACCAGCAGTGTGTGAGTTCCAGTTGCTCCACATGCTTGTCAGCACTTGTTGACATTTTTAATTATAGACTTTCTGTAAGCATGTGGAGCTATCTCACTGTGGCTTTTATTTGCATGTCCCTAATGACTAATGCTGTAAAAATTTTCATGCTCTTATTTGCCATTTGTATACTTACTTTGGTGTGAAGTATCTTTTTAAATCTTCTGCCCACTTTTAAATTGAAGTTTGTGTCTTACTATTGTTGAACTGTAAAAGTAGTTTTATTTATTCTGGATACAAGCCCTTTATTAGACATAAATTTACACATGTATTCTGGTTTGTATCTTGCCTTTTTTTTTTTGTCAACATTATCTTTTGAGGACCAAGATTAATTTTGGTGAAATTTAATTCATCAATTTTTCTTTTATAGTTTGTGGGTTTTTGGTGTATCATTAAAGATACAGTTGCCTAACTCAAGATCATTAAGATTTTCTCCAATGTTTTCTCCCAGAAGACATATGGTTTTAGACTATGTATTTAGGTTTATGTTACATTTTGAGTTAATTTTTATGTATGGTATAAAGTAGGAATCGAGATTATATTTGATATGTGGCTGTCCAGTTCTAGCATTGTTTGTTGAAAATATCCTTTTCCCCATTGAATTGCCTTGAAACCTTTGTTGAAAATCAATTGCTAAATATGTGCGAATCTGTTTCTGGATTTCTATCAGGTCCCATTAATCTATAAATCTATTTTTCCATCAATACCATACTTTTGATTACTATAATTTAAAAATAAGTCTTGAAATTGGATTATGTAAGTTATGCAACTTTTTTTTTTTTTTTTTTACATTCCTATGTATCATTATTACTACTTTTTCCCCTTCTCTTCTGTTCAGAATAACCTACTCCTCTTCCTCCTTAGGCTGTCCCTTATCTGCCCAAATCCTAGATATCACAGGCTGTATTTACAGCTTTTACTTTCTTATTGCCCACTTTCCCTTTACTCCATTTGGGTTGGCTTTCTACCCTCCCACTAATGAAACTTCTCTCTCACTGCATTTGGTTGTCAAAGACAACCTTTGTTTCAAATCCTTATCCTCCTGGGTGGCTCTACCATGGCCACTGTTCACCACCTCTAATTCTTAAAATGTCCTATAGGTTTTTCTTTCTTAGAATTCCTTCTGTTCTTCCTGTTTTTTTCATTTCTTCAAGACCTTATTTGAAGAGCAGTTGGGAAGATCTGAATTTGAACCTTCATTTTTTTCCCTGCTACTTGAATAAAAATGTCCCCCAACTTTTGTGCTCAGCCCTCTTTCTTTTCCATTTTTTCAGTCTCCTCTGGCCATTAGTTATCCTTTGTCGGTTGATGACCCCTAAGCCACACATCTAGGCTGTACATTTGCAATTCTGCCTGTTGATGAATATTCTACTTGATGCTCCACTGCCACACAAGTGAGAAGTACAACCTGTATATATATCTATATAACTTCTGCTACCAAGCACCTAAACTAAAAATTTGAGGAGGATTAGCTTGTAATATTAGTAACTGATTTATCTGAATCAAGAAGGAAGTTTTGTCTTAGTTGTGAAGAAGCTATCATTTCTCTAAAATATCCCCATAATCACTGTGGCTTTGTGTTTTGGCCAAGATCTGTCACAGAGTATCCTGTTGCCCTGCTCTTCGAAACATGGATTGTTTCAGATGAGAACATTCCCTGTGGATTCAAGTCCTTCTTATCATTAAATTCTGTAGTGGTAGGGAAGAGACCATATAAATAAATTTCTATCTGGATGTCTACCTCCCCTTTCTGGTTTGTTTAGAGGGGATGTTCATTATATAAGTTATCATCTTATTCTCTTTCATATAAGTAGATTTTGTATTTTCATTTTTATTCCTCCCACCCCCTCATGTGACTGCATTTGTAAACTTTTAGAATTAAGGTTTGGATTGCAAGCAGGTTTCTTGCACACTTACTCTGAAGTTCTTTCATTTTTTAGTGGAAGGAACAAGTAGTGGAGTTCTACAGCTTTTTGTTGATGCTGGGGTTCCTGTGAATTCCGACATGATTAGCCATTTTGTGAATGAAGCTCTTGCTGAGACCATTGCCGTCGTGTTGGGTGACAGAGAGGCAACAAAGCAAGTTCCTGTTGCCACAGGTGTTTCTGGGGAATTTTCAACAAGCAAAACGTACTTGCCGGTAGGTGTGGCTCTCGTTTTCATGACTTGGAGTCCTGGGGAATTCTGATCCATGTATTAAATAACAGTGAGATGGGCAATTTAAACTGGGTATCATAAGATTATAGTCTGTGGGTGAAAATTGATTCCTTGTTGCTATGATCACAATAATATTTTCTCCAGTATTTTATTTTAAAAACTTAAATCTATAGAAAAGCTGAAAGTATGATACAACAAACATCTGTATATCCTTTCCTTATATTTACCAATTGATAACATGTGACACATTTTCTTTCTCCTTATATGTTGTATATTACATACTATTTTAAAGTCATTTGAAAGTTGCAGATATGATACTTTTAACCACATCGTATCTTCTAGGAACTCAAATACTTTCTTAGATAACCAAAATACCATTATCATACTACCGAAATTTAACATTGGTGTATTAATACTATATAAATATAGAGTCCATATTTGAATTTCCCAATTCTTTCAAAAATATCCTTTATAGCTTTTTTTTAAAATTTAAGGTATTATTCATATACAATCTTATGAAGGTTTCACATGAGCAACATTGTGGTTACTACATTCACCCATATTATCAAGCCCTACCCCATACCCCATTGTAGTCACTGTCTATCAGCATAGTAAGATGCCTTTATAGCTTTTTTTAAAAAATTCAAGATATAGCCAATCACATTGCTTTTGGTTATTATGTAAGCTGATATTTTTAATCTTTAAAAGAAAATATATTTTAGGCATTTGTGTTATTTGTTTAATCAGACTTGCTATGTTAAATAGTTTCTAATCTATTATAGCAACATGAAATAATACAAAACCAAAATGTACTCTATATTACCAGCTGTTTAAAACTTTGCAGTCACTTCTGATCTTATAGAACACAAAGACATCATTTTATTTAGGTGAAACACTTAAATTGAGCTCTTTGAGGCATAAACATAAAGTTACGTATTTGAACTTTATGGCATTGATGTAATTGGTGTAATGTGGTCAGTGTGCCAAAGATCATTTACATAGTTTGGGTCTGTGCTTTCACAGCTCCTTGGTGTCCCGTGTGGTGCAGATGTCCTCAAGGTTATGGTTTTCTCCATGCTAATTTGTTTTGTTTTCTGCCCATATGCTGTGTATGCTTTCATGAGGGTGACTGAATGAGGAAATGTGGAAAATCAGTATAAATAGGCAGTATGTGTATTTGTTAAGAGCAGTTGGGAAGATCTGAATTTGAACCTTCAGCTATGTTCCTTAGTCTCATCTATATAATAGAGATAGAATACTTAGCATCTAAATGACCATGCCCTTACCAGAATCTGCTTACTGATATTTGGGGGGAAGCTGCACTCCCCCACTGTCATATTGTTCCTTATATTCAGAATTTCTTGATCTTTCAATATATTTTAAAATTAGTTTTCAAGTTCTATAAAAAATTTTGTTAGGATTTTTATGGGAAATAGTCCAATTTTGATTGGTTTAATTTTGAGAGAATTGACATTTTTATGATACTGTATCTTCCTTAGCCATCATATAAGATTTTGTGGAAGATTCAGTGTGATGATAAATGATAATTACCTTATTTGGGTGATTATAAGCATCATTTATCTTGTTTTATTTATTTTAGACAAGAGTGTATACCCCAGTGGCTACCCCACAGCCAACTCCTCCTCACTCACCTTCATCATCTCTTGAGGAGCATGTATTGGTAAAAACTCCTGATTCTTCTCCCTGCAATTCAGGCCACGATATAGCTTTTCCTGTGAAAGATGTATTTGCTGAAAAAGGTAGAAACCTTACTTCTATAACTTAGTTTTAACAATTAAATAAAATTTCATGGTTTGTTTTATAAGATGCTTTATAGATTCATATACACATGCTTGTTGCTTACTAGGTTTTAGTAAATCATTTTTTCTTGCAAGAAACCTAAGGAATTTGTTGACACTTCTTAAAGTATATAATGTAATAGACACTGAGGTTACTTTAAGTTCATTGTGATGTTAAAAGTGGCATCTTTTCAAGGTTACTTTGTTAACTTTACTAAATTAATTTGGGAATTTTCCCATTACCGGCCATCACCATTATTATTAATTTCATTGCCTTTCTTTGTATGCCTAAATTTAAGGAATTTCTGAAACAGCCTACCTTACCTTCCTATGGAGTTTATTGACTTATCTCTTTATTTCTTTTTAAAAAAATCTATAGGAAATGATATACCTGCTGTCACACTTGTTAATACTCCAACAGTTACCCCCACTACTACACCACCTCCCTTGGCACCTCTTACCCCAACTTTGTCAGAGGTTTCCATTGATAAATTGAAGATACCAAGCCCTGAGCTTCCCAAGCCATGGAGTGAAGGAGACTTGCCACTGGAAGAAGAGAATCCTAACTCTCTTCAAGAAGAACTTCATCCAAGAGCTATGTAAGTGATAACATATTCATTTTTAGTAACTGCACCTTTTGTTTTAAACTGTCTTACGTTTACTCATTGGAAACATCAGAAATGATAAATGAAGCACTCTAAACCACAAACTATATTTTAGTAGAAAGAAGTTTAATAAATTTTAAGGTTTTAAAGTTTTTGTCAAATTTATTTTTACCTTCAACTCTCCTTTTTTAAGCAGTTTAAAAAAATAAAGATACCTATAATATTGTTAATTAAATAGAAAATGATTTCTCCCCAGTGTGAATCTTCATTTACTAACTTCAGTTTGCTTTTACATTACCACATATCTCCATGTAAATTTATTTTAGGGATGGTAGACCTTTCAAGATGATCTATGATTAAAGCATGGAAACAATTTTAGAAAAATTAATCTTTAATTATAGTAGTGCAGCTTATAGAAATACTTTGCTAAAGGAGACATAGTACCTTTGAATCTGTTTTTTTATATCAAAATTCAGTGACCTTAAAAGTTCAAAATATGTCATTTTGTTTTTAGTGTAATGTCTGTGGCCAAGGATGAAGAACCTGAAAGCATCAATTTCCCTGCTCAGTCTGCACCTCCAGAACCAGTTCCTTCTATGATGCTGCCTGCTGTCACCAAGGCCGTTTCCCCCATACAGATGCCAAGTTCAGATTCGTCAACAATGGAAAGCATCTTGAGCATTACTGTTACTGAAACTGAAACTTTAGAGAGACCCATCTCTGAAGGAGAGATTTTATTGAATTGTGGTCAAAAGGTGGCTTCCAAGAGTAAGCTAATTTATGTCAATTGATTTAGTTGGTTAGATTATGATAATTCCTAAGTAATATTTTTCTGGTTTTACTGATTTTTAAGATGTATAGTATAGCAGAAAGAATATGGACCCTTTGCAAATTAATTTTTCTATGCCTTAATCTCAGAAAGTAAAATCTCTCTCATAAATCCTACCCTCCAGAAATAATACCACTCTTAATAGTTTGGGGTATACCTTTCTAGTCCTTTCTTTTTTTTCCTATGTGTGTATGGATACCTAAATAGGTACATGTGTGTATGTGTTTTTACTTTGAAAATGGTATTATATTATATATATTGTTTTGAAACCTGAATTTATTTTACTTGTACAATATATTGTGGACATCATTCTGTATTAATACACATAGTTCTACCTCATTTTTTTAATGGCTGTGTACTCTATTAAGGCAATGCCATAGTGGTAGGCATGTAGATTGTTTTCACTGCTTCCATACCACACATAACTCTCCAGTGTCCAGCCTTGCACATATGCGCGTGCGTCTGTGTGTGTATGTGTGGTCTATTTATATGTATATATAGAGATACACACACACACACACACACACACATACACCTATGCATGTGTATATAGATATATATCTTTGTGCACTTACCTGATAATTTCCTTAGACTACATACCTATTAGTGAATTGCCGAGTCAGAATATGCTGCATCTTTAAAATACTGACACTTTGCTAACTTACTCTTCAGAAAGGTTAATCAGTTTTTAATTTTAATGTTTTTAGTTATATCAGTAGTATATAGGAGTTCTTCTTTCTCAGTTTCATAGTCACAGTTGATATTTATAGTTCTTTTTAATTTCTGACAAGTTGGAAGAGGAAACAAAAATCTCATCTTTGTTTTAAAATGAACAAAACAAATTGGTGAAATTGAATATCTTCAAAGTTATTATTTATGAACCTAGTATTTTTATTGTGTAAGTTTAAATGTAATGTTCTATGCATTTATGTCAGATTATTTACTAAATTTATGTTTCTTATTTTTTCTAAAATTTACATTTTGATTTCTAGTTTTAGGGGATGTAGGACTGTATCTGACAAACCTAAATGATAGTTTATCCAGTACTCTGCATGATGCCTTTGAAATGGTAAGAAATACTGACTCTATATTGGATTCTGACATGAAGAATTTCTTGATAAACTTGTTGCCATTGGTCAGGGATTTTTACTCAAATATTTTAGCTATAGACATAAAATTTAATAAAACATACAGGAAGGAATTTAAGGTTGCTGCACATCTCATTATCATAATTTCACATTTCATTATCATAATTGTCAGAATGAAAATTGTTGTTAACCTCTGGGGCTCCAGTAGTTGAAAAAACACACAATTAATGTAAGTGCAAATGGTCATCTGGATATGTGGCATTTGCAATGTTTCAGGCAGGACTTTAGCTGTTAAAACCAACTCTTATAATAAATACATTTGCTATTTTTCCCTAACCATGATTGTAATTCTTTGTGCTAGAAGATAATTTAATTCAGTAGCATAAAAAAACTGAACTAGGACCCAGGGATATTAACATTTCCTAGTTATTCTTCAGCTATATGGAAGAAAAAATTAGCATTTAAAAATATCTTATTATATATTTATATAATATACATACATAAAAGATATATAATATATATACATATACATATATACATATCATACAGAAATGATAGGAATTTTCTTTTGAAAAACTTAAGGAATAGAAATCTTTGTATATATTTTTAAATTACCTATGCAGGGAAAAGTGATTGTACTAAACTTTCATCTACATTTATCCATAGTCTTTGCTATACATTGCTGTTATTGCTCTTCTTTAAAAAAATAATTTATTTGATAATTTTTGACATCTGTAGAGCCTGTAAGTCTGTAAAGCCACTACAGTAGTCAAGGTAATGATCATACCTGCCATCTATCACTCCCAAATTTCCTTTATGCCCTTTTGTAATCCCTCCTTCTCATCTTTTATTGTTCATTCTCAACACCTCTCCTGGCAACTGGTGGTCTACTTTCTGTAACTATAGATTAGTTTGCATTTTCTAGAACTATCCAAATGGAATCACATGGTATGTATGCTTTTTTTGCCTGGTTCCTGTAACTCAGCATAATAATTTTGAGATTCATCTGTGTTGTAGTGTGTATCATTGTTCATTGCTTTTTGCATCCACATTTTATATTCTTATAAATAGGAATATTGATCTTTGCTTAGGCACGTGGTTCAGTTACTTAAAGGTAGTTTTACACTTTGAGTCTTGCTTTTGAGTTTATTATATGAGCATCAGGTGTGCAGTTATGTTGAGTCCTTTCTCAGGTGTTTGTGCCTCCAGCCTCATGTGGTTATTTCATATGCATCTGCTGATCAGTACTCAGCTTAATTCTAAAAGGAGATCCTCTTCAGATTGCCAGACTTTGTGTGCAGCTTTCACTTTTCTGGTAGTCTGTCTTACAAACTCTTACTGTCCTAATTTCCCTGGAGTTTCAGCGTCATCTTCTCAGCTCAGGAGCACTGAGCTCTGCCTAGGTTCTCCCTCCTGTGCACAGCCTGGAACCTCTCACAGGCAGTTAAGTTAAAACCACCATAGGGTTCTAATTTGTTCCCCATCTTTCAGGGATCACTGTCTTTTGTTACCATGCTACTTTTGTCCCATGTTTTGAAATGCACTTGTTCATACACTTTGCCAATTTTTTAGTTGTTTCAAGGGGTTGAATAAATCTCATTCTTGTTAGTCTATCTTAGCTGCTCCAGCTAGAAGTGAAATCTAGCTGCACTGTTTCCATTTTGCATAACATTATATGTGATCATGATAAAAAAAATTGGAGTATTTAAAACTTATGTTGTTCTATCCTCTTATATTCATAATGCTAGAAATTCCTTAAAAGCAACCATTTGAAATGATGTAAACTAGGACTGTATATTAAATTTGCCAGTGGAGCTTTTAGAAAATACCCATGCTGGGCCTACACTCGGGTATGTTGATTTAGTAGGTCCTGTGGGTTGTGTGGTATGCATATGTTTAGGTGGTTAGAAGCCTAGATCTGCGTGGAAATCACTTTTATGAGGTAATATTGGGGGAAGGCATAAATGAAGTATCTTTATTTTCAGAGAGCATTTGGCTTATTTAATAGGTCATTATGGAATTTTTATCCATTCTTAGAACTTTATCATGGTGCCAAAGCATGTTTAAGTTTGTTTAAATAACTAAACTGAAGCAGGACTAAATGATAATTTATATCTTCCTTTTTCTACATTTGACACTATAACATTGATATTTTTACTAAGCCTAAATCAGATATGCAACAAATTTATAATAATGTCAAATGTGGAAGTACTTTCTTGAAAAACCAAAAATAAATTGAATTCATGTATCAATAGGCATTTATCCATATGTAGCTGGGGTGTAAGGACTTGTAATCTAGAGTTAATAATTTCATTAAAAATAAAATACTTGAGTAAATAATACTACTAATGGAATTTATAATAATGTTAATACTTGTATTTATAAGGGAGTCCGGGTTCTCCCTCTGAGGCCCACACTGTCCTTCACATTTGGGGCACCTCTGATTTAGATACCAGGAGGCCTAGGCTGGGTGCTCCAGTGAGGGATTTCTGTACCAGCATCCTAGCCAAGTACAATGGGTCAGCCCAGAGGCAAAGGGACAAGAAACGGTCTCTAGGCGCCTTGGTGTATTTCTGCAGTGTTTAATTGTTACCAGTGGTCTGGGGTGTGGTATTAGCACTTGCTGAAAGGATTAAGGCCATCTGTTCCAGCCCTCTTGTTCTACAGTTGAAAAAAATCCTGAAGACCTGTATGGACAAAAGGGCTTAAACATTAGTCTACGGTGTGATAATTGATCAAATAGCTGTATTTGTAAGTGTACATGAGATTAGAGGAGGGAAAACTTCTCAAAGTTCAATGACACTTCATATAGGATATGATATTGATGTAGGTCTTTAGAGACACAACAGGATTTTGCTAGGCAGCAGAGAAGGAGAAAGATGTTTCAGAAGCAGATATAGCATGTGTTAAAGGAGAAGAACCAAGAAAGAGAAGGATATAAGTAGAAAGTGTTGAAAATCTAAGTGTGATTAGAACTTACCTACAGAGAGAAATCTAGAGAAGTAGGTTGAACCAGATGATCATAAAGGCATAAAGATCCTTTTAGGCTATGGAAAGTCTTGGGCACTGTGGTGCCCACTAAGATTTTTGGGGCAAAGGAGTCACAAACTAAGATATTTAGGAGGTTTTCTAATCCAGTATTTGTTGGAGGGTAAGAGAGGAAAGAGTGAGTGCTCATAGGTTCCCCCTCAGATTTCACCTGTAACCTTTCACCTCAGTTGGGCCATTGTACTCCCTGATATTATTCTAGGGAACCAATATCTGCAGCCTGGAGAATTGATTCACAACAGAGAAGGTACTGTATACTGCACAACATTTTTACAGTAGTGTCAGAGTAATATTGCTACTGTGAAATATTCCTAATTAATTTCTAGGGAAAATGTATTTGCCATCATTCCAAACTTTGTCCAAGAGTCTCCAAGGGTTTCCTATTAATTGTAAAACAATCTAATTAAAGGATGTTGAGGCAATTGATATTCCTAAAACAAAAGTCAGTTTAGTAACTAAGAGGAGATAAAAGTGTATAGAGAAGACTTGGGGAAATTTTAGAAAATCTTGAATGCTGAGCTAAAAAGTTAGATTTTATTTTGTAGTCAGTAGAGTCATCAACAGTGTTTCAGCAGTGATTTCTTCATATATTTTAGTGAAAAAATCCACTTGGTTGAAATTAAACTCACTTTAAATGAAAAACATGAGATCTTTAGAGATTAGAATTTTTATTCCATTCTTGATTAGTAAATGCATCAGTTAGAATATTTCCAAATCACAAAATGTGGTAGTGATTACATATATAATGTTTAATACAGAAAGAAAATAGAAGGTTTGATTTTTATAGTTTTTTATTTATTTCATATACTTGATCAACACACATGTACTTTTTGTACTTTTATACTTTCCCAGGGAAAAAAACTTCATCAAGTATGGTTAAACTAGTGTTCCTCAATCTGTTCACTTATAAAAATATAATTATTTATAAAGGGGTAGTAATCTTTATATCATTTAAGGTATATTCTCCTCATTGGCTGTTAATTATAAAGTCCACACAATTTTAGACAATTTTGTTTAATGAAGAGTGAGAGATAAATATTCTATTATGATTTTAAGCAGTATGAGCAACATGTGTGGTTCAGCATTTAGTGTTTTATTTTTTATTTTTTTTATTTTGGTATCGTTAATCTACAATTACATGAGCGACATTATGTTTACTAGACTCCCCCCATCATCAAGTCCCCACCACGTCCCCCATTACAGTAACTGCCCATCAGTGTAGTAAGATGCTGTAGAATCACTACTTGTCTTCTCTGTGTTGTACAGCCCTCCCTGTGCCCCCTACCCCGTACATTATGTCTGCTAATTGTAGTGCCCTCTTTCCCCCCTTGTCTCTCCCTGCCCACCAATCCTCCCCAGTCCCTTTCCCTTTGGTAACTGTTAGTCCATTCTTGGGTTCTGTGAGTCTGCTGCTGTTTTGTTCCTTCAGTTTATTTCTTTGTTCTTATATTCCACAGATGAGTGAAATCATTTGATACTTGTCTTTTACTGCCTGTCTTATTTCACTGAGCATAATACTGTCTAGCTCCATCCATGTTGTTGCAAATGGTAGGATTTGTTTTCTTATGGCTGAATAGTATTCCATTGTGTATATGTACCACATCTTCTTTATTCATTCATCTACTGATGGACACTTAGGTTGCTTCCATATCTTGGCTATTGTAAATAGTGCTGTGATAAACATAGGGGTGCATATGTCTTTTCTCAAACTGGGCTTCTGCATTCTTAGGGTAAATTCCTAGAAGTGGAATTCCTGGGTCAAATGGTATTTCTATTTTGAGTGTTTTGAGGAACCTCCATACTGCTTTCCACAATGGTTGAACTAGTTTACATTCCCACCAGCAGTGTAGGAGGGTTCCCCCTTTCTCCACATCCTCGCCAACATTTGTTGTTGTTTGTCTTTTGGAAGGTGGCCATCCTTACTTGTGTGAGGTGGTATTTCATTGTGGTTTTAATTTGCATTTCTCTAATGATTAGCGATGTGGAGCATCTTTTCATGTGCCTGTTGGCCATCTGAATTTCTTCTTTGGAGAAGTGTCTGTTCAGTTCCTCTGCCCATTTGTAATTGGATTATTTGCTTTTTGTTTGTTGAGGTGCGTGAGCTCTTTATATATTTTGGATGTCAATCCTTTATCGATATGTCATTTATGCATATATTCTCCCATACTTTAAGATGTCTTTTTGTTCTATTTGATGATGTCCTTTGCTGTACAGAAGCTTTTTAGCTTGATATAGTCCCACTTGTTCATCTTCAGCATTTAGTATTTTAAATAATAAAATTTTTCTTATGTGTTTTATGGCTATCTAATTTGGAGGTTGAAAAAACAGATAATGGCTATTTAACTTCATAAAAAATAATATATTAAAAACAAAGCCTCTCACTAGGTGTCTTACTACGCTAATTTCTAAGCTTATCTTTAATGTAGTGTTTATATGGTGTAATAAGCACTTTCTAAAATACCTTTCAAGCAGTCAAGGGGTATGGATCAAGGCATTTGATAAATACTTCTTGTTTTGACTTGGTTTTAATATAATGTTTTGTTTTAAACAATTGTTTCTGCTTTCTATAGGACTTGGAAAACAGTGTGGGTGAACTCAGTGCAGGACAAAGGCCCAGGCTGACTGCAGCAGCAGAGAGCCTGTTAGTGGGACCTTCTATTTCTGTTCAGCAGCCTGTTGCTCATGCAGAATCTCTGGACCAAAAATGTGCTCCCAAGCCAATATCTCAGCAATTTGACACAGTTGCAAGTATATACCAAAATATTGCCTCTTGATGTATTATTTATTAGAATATTCACTTTGAATCCCATCAAACTTTCTTTGTACTGTTTCCATGTTGAATACTATTATTCTCTTTTATATTATAATCTACAGTAGTGTTCCTAATAGGAGTTAAGAAAATCATAACTATTTTCAGGTGGGGGTTTGTAAAAAATTTTTTATTAAAAGGGTCTTTATAACTGAAAAGTTTGGTAAGAACTTTTTCTTTTGTATCTATATTAGTGTTTTCCCAAATGTGATTTATGTGCCACTGTTAGTTTATGAGCCATTGGGTGGCACATGAGATAATTTTGGTAGTATGCATCTATGCATTTAAAATTTTTTAGGAGTGATGCATTTATTTTAACATATATCATAAAAATATAACTCAAACATCAGAATTGTGACATGACACATTTTGTTTAGGACAAGGTTAAATTAGAGAATACTGTAGAAAATCATTCTCTGAGTTAAATGAGTTTCTGACACTGGCTCATTGTACTCATTACTATCTTAGAACTTCATTACCTAAACTTTCTGGTGTAACACTTTGGAAAAAAGAGCAGAATGGAGACCATGTATCACTAGCATCTACAGCTGATTCTCACTATTGATGGTAGTGTGTTCTCTGGTCACCAGGAACCCTGAATTAATGATATTGAACCACTCCCCTATGGGAAATACAGAGCTAGGTTCCTGAAAGCCTCTGATTGTAATATTTTTGTCAACTAATCAATACATGACTTTGATTTATGTGTGTTTCTGTTTAAAGCCACTTCTTTTAATATGTATTGCTGAGTCACTGATATTGAACTTATGGTCAACAGCGCCATGATTCATGTCTGAATGAAGCATATCTAACACCTGCATATTCTAAGGCCCATCACAGCCTTCTTGTCCTTGAGAACACAGATAGCACTTAAGTATTATGTTTGGGGGCCATTTTAGACAGCAAATCACCAACAAAACTCAAAAATGTGAAGAACATGGCACTAATAGATAGCAGAAAGGACATTTGTTTCCAGTATGAGCTGAAATAAGAAAGCAGAGCTGCACCTTGTTCAAACTTAGTTGTGTGTGTCAGTCATTCAAGTTTTCTACTAGTCTACACAACTGCGAATGACCACAAAAATGTGGCAAGTACTGATTTTGAGGTTACAAGTATATTTTATTAAATAGGAAAATTTGTAAATGTGGAATATACAAATTAATGATATCTCCTGTATTTTTATTTACTGATTTTCCATGCCCATTGCTGCATTCTCTCAAGTGAGAAGAACTTCTGGAGGTATGAAGATTTGATTCAGAAAAGGAAATGCCTGAATTTAGAAAACATTGGTATAGAATATTAGAGTTTCCATTTTATATAGAGTAAAAAACACCTTATATCATTCACTAGTTAGAGAAATTCAAGACTAAATTTTCCATGGGAATAAATGTAAACTAAGACTGGAATTATTTCTCATTTTGTGCAATAGTGAGAGCACTACTTGTTTTACATTCTTTGAAATGAGTAGGATTCTAAATGGCATAAAATGTGACTTTCATATTTATATCCAAACTGTGCAGATTGCAGTTACACATAATTGACACCAGATGGCTCTCACAGATCACTCAAGGGCTGCTGGGTACTTGAGAACAACTGGCTACTTGTTAAGTTATAAAGTTCATGAGGCTTATATCTTATTTTGCCCTTTGTTATACTTCTGGTTATATCTAGAAAATTACCTGCAGTACAGTGCATTTTTAATAGTAGGTACACTGTATGTATTTGCTTAACTTAATTGGAAAAAATAAGTAATGTAGCATAACACATAACATAAGATTGAGCATATAGATTAGGCAGTATAAGCATAGCAGAGTGGCTAAGAATTTGGGCTTTTGGAGTTCCCGATTATCAGTTTGAATTCCAGCTCTGTGTAGGTTGGGACAGGTAATTTAGTATCTCTGAGCCCAAGTTTCTTCATCCATCAAGTGGGGATACTATTAGAGTGTTAGTTATTTATTGCTATGTAGGAAATTATTCCAAAATTTAGCAGCTGAAGACAGTGAGCATTTATTATCTCACACAATTCTGAAAGTCATGAGTCTGGGAATTAGTTAGCTGGGTGGGTGATTCACAGGATTTCTCAGGTTGCAGTCAAGTTGTTGCCTGGGGCTGAGGTCATCTGAAGTCTTCCGCTGGGGTTCGAGAATCTCCCTTCACTCATGTGACTGCTGGCAAGAGGCCCCCCTTTCTTACTACACGAACCTTTCTATAGAGCATCTCATGACATAGTAGCTGGCTTCTTCCAAAGAAGATATGAGAGAAAGTGAGCCACCAAGATGGAAACCACAGTGTCTTTTATAATCTAATCTCAGAAATGACACACCATCTCTTCTTCCACATTTCTACAGATACCACAGACCAATCCTGGAATAATATAGCAGGGGACTACAAAAAAGTATGAATACCCGGAGATAGGAATCAGAAGGACATCTTGGAGACTGGGTACCACAAATAGTATTGTCTTACAAGGTTATTAGGGTAGTAAGTGACACCAATGTAAGACAGCACAATGCTTGGCACATGACATGCTCCTCTCTTTAATAATGCTTTGATATGTAAAAATACCTTCTTACATGTATTTAGTAGAACCAGAAAATACTGAAGTTGCCTACAAAAGCTTTGACAGTAGAGAACTAGTAGGTTCTTCTTGTTGCAGATATTTTGTTACATAATGGCAACCACAGAAGAATGAGTACTGTGTATCATTATTTTGGGGAGTAGCTAATCTTATATGCCTGTTAGGCTGAGTTTTAATGATTTTGTTTACAGAGGCTCATCTATTCTTACTTTGCTTCTCCCCACCCCTGCTCATTTTCAGGCCTATTTGCAACCTATATTTCCATAACATTGTTTCAAAACCTGAGGCTGTCAAGTTGAGTTTGGGTAACAAAAAGATGCAAAATAAGCTTTGAAGTGTTATCTTGGGAATCCTAAAATTTAAATTGGTATTTTGAAAAAAATCGTGAAGACTATGGGATATACCCAGTTATGGTTCTTTGTTTACTCAAAAACGTGTGTTGAATAGCTGCTGTACCTAGTGCTATTATATTGGTACTATATTAGGCACTTGAGACATCTGCTCTCAAGGAAGTTTACAAGGTAGTGTAGGAGCAATACAAGAAAGACAATGATAATATTGTGTAATTAGTACAACAGCACAGAATACTGTGGGAGTGCAGAGGATTCAGACGTTTCCCACAAGAGCTGATATGAAACTGAATTTTAAAGGAATTAGCCAGAAGGTGAAGTATGATCAGCATCTTCCAGTTTGTTCATTTATTCATTTAGAAAATATTTTTTGAGCACTTCTTTGCTCTAAGCACATCCTAGAGGAATATAAAACCTGGTAAGGCTCTGACCATAATGAGTGTCTTTTTCCAGTAGAAATAGTAGAGGAAAAGGTGCAAACATGCAATGAATTAGTACTGGGTGTCCGTATAAAATGGGAGAGTACAGGTCAGCTTACCTGGAGAAGGCAATCAAGATAGATTTCATCCATGAGGTGAGGCTTACTTGAAATACTTCTCAAAGATGAATAGATATTTGCCATGTCAAGTAGGGAGGGACCTTCCATGTAGAATATGCAATGAGACAAGGTGATAAAGTCAAAAAATAGCAAGACTTAATCAGGGAAATTTAAGTACTTTATCAATGAATTAGAGTTTAGGATGCAGTGAGACTGTAGTAGTGAGCAGAAACCAGGTACTAACAGACCCTGGATTGCATATCAGATAGTTTTTAGATTTGCTCTTAAGATAGTAAGGATCCGTTTGTGTACAAAATGGAAAAGTAATACCTATCTTATTTTATATGTATTCCCATGGAAATTCAGTCTTGAATTTTATCAATTCTGAATGTTTTGTGATATTCACAGATTCATTAAGAATTATAAGTAGATGGCTGGCTATATGATTATATTTGCCTTTTATTTAGCAAGATCATCTGACGTGCAGTGTGATGGGCAAATTGGAGAGGATTAAGACTGCAGGCAAGGAGCCAGATTAGACAGCTATTAAAGTAACCCTGGTGAGACGTTATTCAGCACTGAGGACATATAAAAAGGCAGGTTTTAGAGACAATTAGAGAGGAGAATGGACAAGACAGTTTGAATATAAAAGGTGTAAAAGAAGAGAAAGTCTAAGAAATCTCCAGTTTATATCTGGAATGATTTCTACTCACTGAAGGAGAGGTAATATGGAAGAAGGACAGAATTAGTAGGAAATAAGTATGACTGGGTTTTGTACATGTGGAATTTGAAGTTGAGGTACTTTGGGTTTCATACAAATGCAATAATCTATTAAACATACCAGACCCAAAGCTGCTACTGGTGCTGGCAATTTCAGATGGACTTAGTCTTCTCTGAAAGTCTATGATGGTTGCTTTTTCATAACAGTAGGATTCCTTCTAGAAGAGTAAAATTAGGGATTTCAAGTTACGATTAATCAAATTAAATTTGACTTAATGAAATAATACTTTAAGTATACTTCTTATAAAGGACTAACTTACATTATGCAGACAAGACACCCACACTCAAAGAGCATGCTTTTTAGAAGTGACACAGCACATTCAGTATTGCTATGATTGCTGTCATGGAATTTTATCTTGACCCCTTGTCACTAAGTTAAGACACCTGTCTCTGTAGTCCTCTATTAGTTACCTGCCTAATGTTGCTCTTATTACACTGATCTGTGATCTCACTCGAGGGTAGGGATTTATCTTGTTCTCTGTCATATCCCTGTCATCTAAGAGAGTGTATGGCACCTAGTGCACAGTCAGTAAACGTATGTTAAATTATAGGGTGGTATGTGAGTTGAAAGCTCTTGTGCACTCTGAATGCTTTGGGGGAGATGTTTGGTTATTTACTTTCTGAGTTTCTGGAGTTGAATTTTTTTCTTTTAAAAACTTTACCTTATGTCTTAATTTTTTCTTTATACCCATGTATTAACCACATAGAACATTTACATAAAAACAAAATATTATTATATCATACATTAAATTATAGACTCCTTTCTTGGAGTGCCCTCCATCCACCCTTCCTCCTCACATTTTCTCTTGTCCCATATTATGTCTTACCCCAGGTAACTCATTTTAAGATGCTGGTATGTAACCTTCTTGTTTTTGTCATTGCACATATAATTATATGCAAATTCACAGGTATAGTATACATGATAGGGACATATGGTGTGTGTGTTTACCATTGTTTTACAAGTTAAGATCATTTGATGCTCACTTACCTGCATTTTGTTTTAACCTATTAAATCCTGTGGAAATTACTCCAGGTCATCTGGTATTGCTTAAATTTATTCTTTTTAATGGCTGCATAAAACCTTTTAGTGTGGATGGCCTATCATTTATTTAATCACCACTCTATTGATGGATACTTAATTACCATTTTCCTCCACTATAAGCATTGCTAGAGTAAATATCCACATATGTATACTCTAAGCTATTGTTGCATTATTCGTATTTTGGAATCATTTCCCAGGAGTAGTTACTAGATCCAAGGGCAGAGGTATTTTAATTTTAGGATATGCCAAGTTGCTTTCTTAAAAATTTAATCCAATTTATTTTTATCTGTAATTTATTTGAGACTTTTCCCAGCATCCTGTCCAAAAATTTTGTTTATTACTCTTATTATTTTTGTCAGTTGAAATATAAAGTTCTCTAACTATTAGTGAGTTTATGTTTTTTTGTATTTGTTGACCATTTGGATTTGCTCTTCTGTGAATTCCCTCCCTAAGTTCTTTCCCCATCTGTTAGGTTCTAAATTTTCCTTGTAACTTTGTAAGAGGTATTTCCATATTTTAGATGCTTTCTATCCTGAGTATTGCAAATGTCTTTTTTCAAATTTACACTTTGTTTATTGACATTATTTATGATCATGCTTTGATATATAATTAAAAACATTTTATATAGTTATTTCTATCTTTTATACTTTCTCTGTTTTTATGGCTTGATTAGGTTTTACCTAACACAGTTTAATACCAGTAATACCAGTAATCTCATAGATTTTCTTGCAAGATTTTCATTAAGTATATATTTATATTTAAGTCTGTGTGATAATTTGCTATACCTAAGAAATTATCAACAGACTACCTTTCAATCGAAAAAATCTGTGATATCTTTCAAATATTATTTCATTTAAAACAACTTAGTTTATGTGTAATGCTTCAGGTCTATTTCTATGGACTAAAATGAAATACTATACTGTGCTATATTTAAAAGGTGGCCATTAGTTAGAAAGAAGAATTTTCTTAGAAGTATTTTAGCAATGGGAGGATTCAAATATGAGGATTTTAATTCCTCTTAATAGCTCTCTGATGTTTGGAAAGTCAGTTGACTTCCTTAGCCTTATCTTTGTCAGTGAAAGACGGTTATAATACTATCTGACCTGCCTTACAGAATGATTGTGATATTCAAATTAAATGAGGTAATATATATGAAATATGTACATATTATGTATATTATAGTGCCCAGAAGTACAAAGTGCTATATAAATGCACAGTGTTATTATTAGATATAACAGATACTTCTGCTCTTACTGTCTTCTTTTTATTGATTCGATTGAGATGCCATTTGGATAAGAAAAAGGAATTTGATAATTTAAAGAAAAATAGCTACAGAACAGAGCTAAGCAATACCAACATTTTCTAGCTAGGAAATTGCCCCTTGCTGTAAGATTGTATTTTAGATAGCAAGTATTCCACTGACTCCTACTGATTAAAAAGGTAAGTTGGAGTGTTAGGAGGTGGTTTGTAAGGGGTGGGGTTTGAGTGTGGATTCTACCAGCAACTTGTTGGTTAGAGCCTTAGAATGGCCCATAGATGTTTTTTTAACGTAAGTACTTTTTGCATTCTCTCTGAGCTTTGGTTTTAATTGCAGTGAAAGCTTGGTACTAGGTGTTTTGGGTTAAAGTGCACTGCTACTTCAACATTGCTACATTGCTACAGCAATGAGAAATATTGGTAATTCTAGTCAATTACTTGTTCTTTTTGTAAGATAGACAATTTGTTTTAACTCTTTGTTTACATATTTGATAACAGGTGGTGTTTATGAAAATTCATATGCTAGTCATGGTCCAATGAGTTTGGAAGAATTGGAGTTGCAGCCAAATTCTAAGCTTCCTCTTCCCACAGCACTTTTGACAGCACAAGAAAATGATGTGAAGTTAATAACAGCAGCTGAAGATTTCCCTCAGGTACTCAATTAATAGCACTTACTCTTTACTTAAAATGAGAAAGTGGCAATGCTGTACCTTAGCAGGGTATGCTGTCAAGAACATAGTCTTTGGAGTCAGCCTCAAATCATGCCTCCTTTATTTACTAACTGAAGCATGGATATATATCTTTGCTTATCTGTTCTCTTGCTGTGACCTTGAATACATTATTTAACCTTTTTGTAAGCCTTAATTTTCTCATTTTTAAATTGAAGATTAAAAATAATGTATATAAAATACCTATCATCTAGTTAGGTAGCTATTAGCATTTACACCTCTGTATCCCCATGCAATTACACCTCTGTATCCCCATGCAATGTCTAGATCAGTAATTTGCACATAGTAGGTACTCAATAAACATTTATTACATTACAATTTATAAAATCTGTCATCTTAAAACATAAGAAATTTCATACTGAGTTACACCAGTGGCCCATATAATGTTGGGTACTGGAAAAAGAGGATAATTAATCTCCAAGGTATAGAAAGATGCTCATGGTATTACAAATAGTTTTATATCTGTCTAATAGCAATGCATTTCTCACTGTGGATTAATTTAGCAATAGGTAGTTGTTGCATGGTGGTGAGTATTACTGGTTCACAATCTTGGGAGTTCCCTGGGTGAACTTCAAAACTGGCCCCTCCCTATACATGGAGGGCAAAGAAGACTGAAGAAAGGGGCAGACCACACCAGATGAGCAGGTGGCAGTTTTAATAAGCATGAGAACTTATATAAAAGGCTTCTCTTGGGTGGCCACAAGATAAGTAGATCTCTGCGTCTGTCTGCCAGAATCTTAAAAGTGTATATGGAAGTCTTAACTGGGTTCAGTCATGTATTCCGTCCAGATGGTCTCAACAACACCTTATTCTCTTAAGGCTGTGTCCTTGAAATGGCTCCTAGTATGGGAATATTGGCTGGGTTATACATTCCAAGGACAGGGAGAGAGGAAGGAGCCTCCAATTGCCTGGGTCCAGCTTACAGTTCAACTGGAGGTAACATCCTTTCAGCCTCCAACAAGGATGTAATCCAAAAATATATAAAATAAAGATTGTTTATGGAACACACCCATTTATGTAGGGTTCAGTATTAATACCCTGTGACCAAGCAAAGATCAGGGAAGCCAGTTAATAATGGATAAACATCTATTAATAACTTCTATATAGAAGGACAATTGTTTGTGACCTTGGGTTAGGCAAAAATGACACCAAAAGCACTACCCATGAAAGAAAAAAAATGAACAAATTGATCTTAACAAAAATAAGAACTTCTGCTCTTCAAGACACACTGTTAAGAGTAAGAAAAGATAAGCCAGAGTCTGAGAGAAAATATTTGTAAATCACTTATCTGATAAGAGGCTTGTATTCAGAATGTATAAGGAACTCACAGAGTTCAATATTAAGAAACAAAAAATTCAGTTAAAAAATGGATAAAATATTTGGATAGATACTTTACCCAGAGAAAACATGCTGATGGCAAGTAAATACATAAAAAGATTATTAACATCGTTAGTCATTGGGAAAATGCTAATTAAAAGCATAATGAAATACCACTACTCATTCATTATAATATCTAAAATTAAAAAGACCGATATGCCAAGTGTTGGCAAAGATGTGGCACAACTAAACTCTCATACCCTGCTGGATGTGAATGTAAAATGATTCAACCACTTTGTGAAAGAGTTCGGCAATTAGAAAAAGTAAAACTCACACCTGCTATGTGACCCAGGCATTTCACTCCTAGGTATTGACTCAAGTGAATGCAAAATGCATATGGACATGAAGACTTGTACACAAACACTGATAGCAAATTTATTTGTAGTAACCCCAAACTGAAACAACACAAATGTCTATCAAATGATGAACATAAAAATTGGTATATATTTATACAGTGGAACACTACTCAGCAATAAAAAGCCATGGACTACTGATATATACAATAATGTCAATGATTCTCACCAAAGTTATGTTGAGGGAAAGAAGCCAGATAACCCCCCTCAAAAAACTAAAGGGCATACTCAGATGCCATGTTTATAAAATTCTAGAAAATGAAAACAAGTCTAGTAATGGGATAGAATGCAAAAGGTTATGAGAAAACTTTTGAGATTGATGAATATGCTTATTAACTTGATTTGTGCTGGTTTCATGGATATATAAGTGACAAAATTAAGCAGATTGTACAATTCAAATATGTACAAGTTACTATCAATTATACCTCAGTAA